ATAACACTTACCACGCCTTTGCATTTCAATTATTAAACAACATATTTTCCTCTTTTACTAGCCTACTAGCATCCATGGGGATCCATAGGAGGTCCCCGTTACCCGTGAACCATTAACATTACAACCTGATTCCAGGGCCGTCCCCATACCTCGTCCAGTATGGGCGCCAAAACTATGAACCTCAATACCCCGTCCGGTATAAGGGTGAAACGAGCCGTCCCCGTACCCCGTCCGATATGGGCGCCAAAACACATAAGGTCTCCATACCCCGTCCGGTATGAGAGACCACGTTCCTGGTAGGGTTCTCTACGGACCCGGTCCGTCCACCATCTCTCAGGATACCTAGTCAAGCTGTCCACATTATCCGTTTGCCAATTCACATAACCTTTTATCCCTTTTTCTTTAGTCACCATCATCAAGTCACATACAAACATGCAAACCGGTAGTTCACGCCAACAAGACAACACACAACATCGGGTTCTCAGTCATTCAGTCCATAATCAATGAAACAGTGATATATGCACACGAAACTATGAAATAAAAACATCAGACATCATACTGCATTTAAAACTATAAAATAGAACAAACAATAACTGATCGACAAATATACTAGATTCGGGCTCCATTAGTAACCTTAAACAATTTCACACAGCTATTGATTCATGAAATACCATTTTATCATTTATTGCACTTTAATACCGTGGTAGGAAATAGAGTGAGGAATTTTTACTTGTTTTCGGGACCCGAAATAGGCTTTTTCGAGCGCCTGCGGGTTATCCCTAAATTTCCTGAATTTTTTTTCAAAGAACTAAAATACGCTACTGGTACCTGCACGTGTCCCAAAAATCTCAGAATCAGACCTAGGGCCCCTTTCGGCCAATATCGCAATTCCGGCACGGCGGCTCTGCCGCAAACGGCGGCGATTTGTCTCGGGTTGTCCGTTTTTGGCCGAATTCAGCCACACTTACATCGGGGGCCCTCGGTGGGCCAAAAAAATTCCAGAAAACTGAGACTTACTGGCGGTGAAGCTCTCGGGTACGGCAGCTCCTCCGACACAAGTTACGAGTCGGTGTTTTACTCCGGTCAACCTGTAGAGAAAAGGACCGTGGTCACAGTGGTATAAAAATTACATCAAACGGGAACCGGAAAGGGCCTCATTGGAGATAAAAACTAAAAAAATCAGCGGCGGCACCGCTGGACTTCGGCGATGTTTTTCAGCCAATCGGCTGGTGGTTTGGCTCTAATTTGGCCACAGGGAGGTTCAGCATCGAAAAACGAGCCAATGAGAGAAATTTTACCTTGTTTGGCGGCCGAAAAGTCCTCTGGTGCGGTGGCGGGTGGTGGCGGCGGGTTCCTCCGGTGGCTGGGTCGTCTTCTCCATCGAGGGTTCTGGCGGCTAAGGTTTGGGGTTGGGTGTGGATGCGATTATTTATAATCTTCCCCTTTTAATCTGAGTCGTCCATCATGATTTAATCTGAGCCGTCCGATCGCGATTAAATTAGAAATAAATCTGGACCATCCATCGCGATGCGATCTGGGCCGTCCGTGCGTGATCAAATCTGGACCGTCTGCACGCGTGAGATCTGGGCCGTCCACGCGCGCCTTTGATCTGGGTCGTCTGTGCGCGCGGGAACGGATCTGGGCCGTCCGATCGTGCACACGCGGATCGCCCACGTGTCTCCGTCCCGCGTGGCTTCCCGCGTCAGCGTCCCTGCCACGCGGCGTGTCCTGGTTGGCCGGGGCTGCTGACCGGGCTGCTACCATGGCTGCTGACGTTGCACTATTTTTTTAAATTACGTTTTGACCCCCGTTTTTCGATTTTTTTTTTCAAAAACACCCACAGAATCTAAATTTTCACATCTTTTTTTCAAAATCAATTTCAATTAAATCTCAAAAATAATTTTACCCTATATTATTATTATTTTTATTTTTATTTCTATTAA